AGGGGGTTGGACTTGATCTGCTCAGGTCCCTTCCGACCCTACCTACTATGATACTATGAAGTCACCAGATCTAACCAACCGCCTCCATTTTACCAGCTGCTAGTCAAATGCAAAAATATATTTTGGCAGGAACAGCGATCCATACTGCTACCAAAAGACAATTCAATGGTTCAAGGCAACATATTTAGGTGACAAGGAGGGGTTTCCCTCTTACTTGTTCACAAAGATTTCACCCCATTTGACACTACTATTCTCTACGCAAGAGATGCCCTGAACTAGAATACTTAGAGGTAAGACAGAAGGTCAGCCTAGAGCTGGATGAGTGATTTGGGTAGGAAAAGCATAAAATGCTAGAGATCAGGATTGAAAAGTATTGACAGAGCTGGATGGACGCCCTGGAGAAAAACATCAGACAGAACTATACAGATCAAAGGGTCCTGGCAGAGTCAAATGGTGAGAATGTGTCCAAATACTAGAAGCCAAAATAGAGTCCTTCATTTTCCATGAATACCAAAATTAATTTCCAAGTCTGAAAAGGGAAAAATTGACAGAGGAAAGGGAAGTCTATAAAGTAGCAGTTCTCAACAAGGATATCAAACCATGCTACGGTGTCATGAGATCCTTTTAAAGATGTCACGCAATATTACCAGTTAGATGTGCAAACACCTACACATGATTCATGAGATAAACCCAGAGATTTCAAGTAGTAATCCATAAAGTCAAAAACATTTTGACATGCTGTGGTCAGAGTTCTTTGCTACAGAAGAACTGCTCTATTATCTGCCCATAATAAAGAAAACACAGAGGTAAAAACCTAAGAGTTGGTATTTTCTGAAGGGTGCCTTCAGCCAAAAAAGGTTGAGGACCACTGATCTAAAGAGACAACACCTTAGCTTTCCCACCATCCTGTTATGTTTACGTCACAACAGATATTTGTACTAGTTGAAGTGTAAACTTCAACTACCCGGACATCTCATGGGAAGAGCACTCAGCCAAATCCGATTGGTCACAAAGCTTCCTCACATGCGTGGATGAGCTCTACCTGTCTCAAGAAGTTTATGAGCCAACAAGAGGCAATGCACTGCTGGACCTGGTACTGGCTAAAGGGGATGATCTAACCAGCGACCTAAGAATCGATGAGAAGCTCGGAAACAGTGACCACAAGTTGATCACATTCACTATCCATTGCAAAGCTAGCAAGTCAGTCACCAATGCAGTAGTCCTTGACTTTAGGAAAGCCAACTTTCATAAGGTCAGGGCCTTGACAACAAGCCTCCTAAGTGGCCATGATTTGACAGAGAAGGGAGTTTACAATGAGTGGTCGCTCCTTAAGGAAGCGATCCTAGAAGCACAAGGGAAGTCTATTCCAGCCTGTAAGAAAGGCAGTAAAAGGGCTCAGCAACCCCCTTGGCTCAAAAGGGAACTCATGGACCTCCTACATCTAAAAACAGAAGTTTATAAAGGATGGAACACAGGAAACACCATTGAGAAGAAATATTCTGCACCTACAGGGAGCAAACTAGGAAAGCCAAGACTGTAACTGAACTCCAACTGGCTACATAAATCAAGAACAATAAAATGTCCTTCTTCAGATACGTGCAAAGTCAGGAAAAAAAGGAAAAATTGGACCCCTGCTAAACCAAATGGGGCAGCTGACAAACAACACTGAGGAAAAAGCCAATCTACTTCATGATTACTTTGGGCTGGTGAAAGACCAAAGCAAAAGGACCACCCTGCCTGGTAAGATGTGGAATGACTAGGGTGAGGGGAAGTATACACCCATTACTGGTGTAGATCTTGTGAGGGAACACCTTGAGAGGCTGGACACCCACCAATCAGCTGGCCCCAATAGACTGCACCCAAGGGTGCTAAAGAACTGGCAGATATCATAGCATGGCCACTGGCAAGGATATTCAAGAACTTGTGGCACTTGGACGAAGTACATGAAGATTAGAAGAGGGTCAATGTGGTGCCTATGTTCAAGAAAGGACAGAAGGAAGATCTGGGAAACTACAAGCCAATCAGTTTGACCTCAATCACTGGAAAGATCTTGGAAAAAATTATCAAAGAAACCATTCTTGACAGGCTAGCAGAAGGCAACATTCTGAGGAACAGCCAGAATGGGTCTGTTGTGGGTAGGTCTTGCCTGACTAATCTTATTTCCTTCTATGACCAGGTGATGCATCACCAGTACAAAGAGGCTGATATCATATATTTGGACTTTAAAAAAAGCTTTTGACTCAGTGTCCCATGATGTCCTCATGGAGAAACTGGGGAACTGCAATTTCAACTACCCTACAGTCTGATGGCTGGGGAACTGTCAGACCCAGGAGCGGTCATTGATGGAACAGAATCAACATGGCACACAGTGACCAGTGGTGTCGCCCAAGCAAAGCCATCCCTACGGGTGTGTGGGGCAGCAAGTGGGGGGGAGGGGGCGGCAAGTGGCCAGAGCTGAACCGAGCTGGCAGTCACCCCGATTAGGCCCCCTCTAGGGACAGCCCTGCCCCCAAGGCTCCGTTCTCAGACCTGTACTCTTTAACGTCTTTAAGAATGATCTGGACTCTAGTGTCAGAAGCGGACTGGCTAAGTCCGCTGATGACACCAAACTATGGGGAAACTGATGACACCACACTTATGGACAGCCTAGCAATCCAGGTCGACCTTGTCACAAGGTGGGTGAATGAAAACCTGATGGGGCATTCAGTATGGAGAAATGCAAGGTGCTCCACCTTGGGGGGGGGGGAGAGGAGGAGGAAACCTGCATCACACGTACAGGCTTGGCTTGGCAGTTCTACACTTGCTAGCGCCACAACCGAAAGAGACTTGGGGTCACAACTGACCAGAAGATGAACATGAGCCACCAATGCGATACTGCAGCCGGCAAAGCAAACAGAACTCTGGCTTGAACATACCAATGCACCTCAAACGAAGACCCACAAAGTCGTCCTCCCGCTGTAGTCAGCCTTGGTGAGGCCACAGCTGGAGTACTGCATCCAATTCTGAGCTCCACAATTCAGAAAGGATGTGGAGAAGCTTGAGAGAGTCCAGAGGAGAGCCATGCGCATGATCAGAGGGCAAGAGAGCATGCCTTATGAAGAGAGGCTGAGCACCATGGGACTCTTCAGCCTGAAGTAGGGTAGGCTCAGGGGTGACTAGGTGGCAGCCTATAAGTACATAAGGGGTGTGCATCGGGATCTGGGAGAATACCTGTTTACCAGAGCACCACAAGGAAAGACAAAGTCCAACTGTCACAAACTCCTGGATGACTATTTTAGGCAGGACATAAGGAAAAACTTCTTTACTGTCCAAACCCCAAAGGCCTGGAACAGACTCCCCCCAGAGGTGGTGCAAGCACCTACTCTGGACACTTCCAAGAAACATTTGTTTATCTTGCTGGGATCATTTTACCCCAGCTGACTTCCTGCCCCTGGGGCTGGACCTGATGATCTTGCAAGGTCCCTTCCAGCCCTAATGTCTATGAATCTAAACCTCCATTTTGACTACAGGAATCCTGCTCTCTCAGGCAGATGCTCAAAAAGATAGGAAATGACAAATCCTCCAGCTCTTCTGCACATTTTCTGGTTTCATGTTTTACCTCAGAAAAGGAGGCCACAAAAATTCAGATCAGCTTCCCTATCTCTATAGATGTTAGGACTGGAAGGGACCTCGAAGATCATTGAGTCCAGCTCCCTGCCCTAGGGGCAGGAAATCAGCTAGGGTCAAAGGACTCCAGCAAGATAAGCATCCAAGCAAATAAGTCCAGGAGTAGATGACTGCACCACATCTGGAGGGAGTCTATTCCAGGTCTTGGACAGTAAAGACATTTTTTCTTATGTCCAGCCTAAAACAGTCTTGTAGGAGTTTACGACCGTTGGTTCTCCCAGATCCTGATGAACACCCCTTGTCTACTTATAGGCAGCCGCCAGGTCCCCCTTGAGCCTGCACTTTTCCAGACTGAAGAGCCCTATGGCTCAGCCTCTCTTCATAGGGCCTATATTCTCTTGCTCTCTGATCACGCACGTGGCTCTCTTCTGGACTCTCAAGCTTCTCAACATTCTTCTTGAATAGCAGAGCCTAGAATCGGATGCAGTACTCCAGCTGCGGCCTCACCAAGGCCGACTATAGCGGGAGGATGACATCCTGCGATTTACTTGAAAAGCATCTATAGATGCAAGCCAGAGTTTTGTTTGCTATACCAGCTGCAACATCACATTGGCGGCTCATGTTCATCTTGTGGTCAATTATGACCCCCCAAGTCTCTTTCAGCCGTGGTGCTAGCAAGCGTAGCAATGCCGAGCCTAGAAGTATAGTGTGGGTTTCCCCCCTACTCCCTATCTGAAAAGGGACTTTTTGTTATCCTAGACCTCCTTAGAGCTGACACCCAAAACTAGAGTCTAAATAATAGCCCAGCAAATACCTTACATAAAAGTCAAAATATGACATATACCCACAAGGCAAACTTATGCCATCTCCAAATAAATACAATTATTTTTGATCCTCAAAAATCGTTATTGTATTATTTGAGTAGCTTCTTACTTTTTTCATATACTTGTCTAAGTCTCTTCCCCCCTTGAACACAATGTACCACAGGAGCAAATTTTCAAAATCCAGCAATTTCTGAAGCCTATATATTTTGGTATCATGATCCTTTGGAGAAGAAAGTCATCAGGTTAAGCTCAACTATGATGAAAAGAAAAAGGAACCAGCTATTGGCAGTAAACACAGAAGAGCAACAAAACCCAGCATTAACCTTTTCAGTAATGATAACCATAAGCTTTCAGAGACAGCCATCTTTAGGCACTTGTCAGCCCAGCAGACAGACATGTCCAAATTAATGTTTGATCTGCCTACCGACGTGCAACATACTCGTGATAAGCATCAGACAAGTGAAGCCACAACATCCAGAAACTATACAATACAAGGATAGGTCATGGAAGTCCTGGCCTTGTGAAAACAACCCTGGAGACAACAAGTGTCACAGCCCTCCCCACCCTTACCTTATTGGCTCTAATCTGCTTGTAAATATCTGTTTGCTGTCGAATTCGGTACTCCAGGTCCGAGACATGAGCCTGAAGCCAGTTCCAGCGACTGACTATAGCCGCCCGATCTGCTGCCCACCTCCATTCTGACCGTCGCCTCCTGAAAAAGGGAAAGATACTATTAAGTACAACTTCAGCTACATATGTGAAATCAGGCAACAGAACTCTACTGGATGCATTAATACTACAGTGGCTTGCAGGTCTTTAACTTCAAGACAGTGGTAACCAGCTACTGAACTGCCAGGTCCCTTCTCTAACAGAATAGTAACATAACTTATGTTTATCAGTTTGTAGGTTTTAACTTCATGTCAAGAAATTAGCAGCCCCATTTCCACTTGATTTAGAGGAGCCTCACTCCATTTACCAGTCACCCCAAATATACCAATGACAGTGCTCGGAGCACTCCCAGCCAGATCATGAGGTGCTACAGGGATTTGGGAGCGGGGCTTAAGGGTCTGGGGGCACAGGTGGTGTTCTCGTCAATCCTCCCAGTCTCAGGCTACGGGCTGAGAAGGGACAGGAAGATCTATGTGGTCAACCAAAGACTGCAGCGCTGGTGTCGTTGGGAAGGCTTTGGCTTTCATGACCACAGCCCGCTCTTTGGCGAGAGAGGCAGCGAGCTGCTGGGAAGAGATGGCCTCCACCTCACTCCCCTAGGGAGGAGGCTCTTCTCAGCCAGACTGGCTGACCTGCTCCACCGGGCTTTAAACTAAGCCCGCTGGGGGACGGGGGGGACTACCGCCATGCTGGCCCGCTGAGCAATCCTTGCAAAGCCAGCGGATCACGGCGCTTCAGGGAGCCCACCCCTG